TGGAAGAGGAGGTGGGTGACAGGAAGTAAGGAACAGAACAGGTCCACTTTAAAGTAGCACTGCTGCCTGTATGTGACCCTGGCTGACCTGCCTGAGCTCTGTGGGCCACACAGCCAGAGTGGAGCTTTTCCAGCTGGGCTGTTTTCCCCTTGGCCTTCCTCCTCCGTCTGTCTGGATTTCCTCTGAGACGCTGTGACATTCAAGCCAGCTGCAGGGCTCGCATCCAACCCAAAAAACCAGCCCAGACCCAGATGCAGATTTAACAAACAGAAATGTTCCTGCACCTGCCAGTCAGGCACTATTTTACTACTTCATTAGTCAAACAGAGAAAAATCCAACGCTCAAGTTTCTGAATGCGACCAAACCTTAGGGAAACTCTCTTCTGCTGCATTTCTCTCTTTTTCACTTCCTTGTGTGGCTCAGAGGAACGTTGGAGCTCTTCTAGTAACTATCAACGTAACATAACATCTTTATTCTGCTGCTGGAGTCACTGTTCAAGTCACGAGGGAGGAAATCATGCAGTCAGTTCAGGATGAAACAAAGCAATCCTCCTTTACAGCACACTAAAAACAGGAAAGCGAACTTCACCTGCAGCCTTATCTGCTCAAAGCAATTATACGTAACTGTAGAAGGCAAATATCTGCAGCATATTAAATCATGTGAACTGAGTGCAGCCTCGTGCCCCCAGAGATTCAATTCCACGGTTATCATTCTGATGTTTCAGCCTGTCTCATGGAAAAATGCGGAATAGTGATGGAAAATGATCCCATCTGTTCATGCATGCAAAATGTCCTGGTGTTTTTTTTCCTAAAATCACAAATTAGTGCATCTTAGTGTTAAAGTCATATGAAGCGGAGGGCACAGATGATGTGTTCTGTGTGGTCTCTGGTGTGAGGGGCAGAGTGGACGGCTGGTTTCAGTGCGTCACACTGGTCGATGAACAACAACAAAAAGCCACGATGATTGTTTTTGCCATTTACAAGCGACTTCAAGCAAATATGAACTCAACGTGGAGCAGCAATGGTCATGATTTCAGATCATAGCCCTAAAGCACCAACACTGAAGCGAGGTTAGCTGTTCCAACAGGAGAGACAAACGAAGCCAAAGAGAACGACGGCACTCACAAAGTTCAGCAAAACAAACTAAAACTGGGCTGTTAGATAAACCGAGCCATGTCCCGGAGCGCCCGGCGGGTTTCCACCGCTGCCGAGGATCCTTTGACTAACGAGGTTATGGATGAGCACATATCCGCCAGCAGATCGATCTCCAACCTTGAGACTTCACGTTTGCTTTCTGTTTGGGTGCTCTGGGTTAATCATCAGTTACCGACAGAGCGTCTCTTCCGTACTCTCAAACAGATACTGCGCACACCTGCATCCACACTTCCTGGCTCTGACTGAGCAGTAATCAATGAGCGCGGCACCAGACCGCACCGAGCGTGATTAAAATCAGCAGGGCTCAGCATTGGGACCAAATTAGCGGGGTCTGGATGTCCTAACCACCTGCGGTGTTGTGGTTACAGCAGACAAACAAGAAAACTGACTCCAGACCAAATCTAATCAGTCGAATGACAGAAAACGGACCGCATTTCAGGCAAAGATACAAACGTAGACGTTCTCAGCTCTGAACAAACAGCCCTTCAGTTATCAGCCTGCAGGAGGCCGCTGCTTTCAGGTCCTCACCCAACCTGCTCTCCTCTGATTTCTGAGAAGGCCC